CAGCACCTAAGTTAAATATATGAGTGTCACAGCAAAGGGTCTGAATACTTATGACCATGTGATATTTCAGTTTTTCTTTTTTAATAAATCTGCAAAAATGTCAAAAAGTCTGTGTTTTTCTGTCAATATGGGGTGCTGTGTGTACATTAATGAGGAAAAAAATGAACTTAAATGATTTTAGCATATGGCTGCAATATAACAAAGAGTGAAAAATTTAAGGAGGTCTGAATACTTTCCGTATTTTGGCCCCATACAACTGAATGATTTATAAACTAGCAGAAGCACTTTAAAATCATTTCTGTAGGTAACTGGTGGACCTCGATTTTTTTTTTCTTAGCTTTATCCCATACACACCATCCTTCATGTGTTTTTATGACTGTGAATTAATTCCAGGGGCGAACGAGAGCTGCGCTGCTGGACAACCTCCATGACGAGCTGCACAGACAGAGTCAAGCCATGCTGGGCCTGGGCCAGATAGGAGAGGAGGACAAGCTGGAGAACGGGGGTCATGGTGGTCTGCTAGAGTCCTTCAAGGTGAACATGAATCTGGACAAAAGCATTAGTGACACCATGTAATCTTTCAGCTCTGACATTTATTTAATGATTCTGTTTTTGATTCCAATTACTGTTATAGCAGAAGGGTGTGAAGTTTGCTCACTGTAGGCCAACTAAATGTCACAGGTCTGCAGGATGATTAAAGGTGTTAAGTGTCAGTGTTGCTTCAGCTTTTCTCTGTGCTTGAAGATTTTGACCTCGTACTTCAAGTGTATGGGTGTGAAGGCGTGTGTGAAAATGAATGCAAACACTGCTGTGCTCATATATGTACGATAATAGATGACACAGTCCCTTTCTGTCATCTTGTAAAATCTTTTTTTTTTCTCCCATTATCTCTCATTTGCCATACATCTTTTTTTCTCACTCTTACTTTCCCTTCACACTTTGTTGTCCAGTCAAAGGCTAATTGATATTAACAGGACCATTACAATGTATGTGTATTTCCATCAGGGTGTGTGTGTGGAGGTACTGTACATGTGTGACTAATGTGACAGTTTCGTTGTCTCACTCTTCACAGGTATTATGGACAGCTATTTCGCACTTTCTGCAGTCAGTCCCAGTGGGTGCTGTTCTCATCGCTGTCTTTGCAGTTACTATGTATTACCTGTCTGCACAACTGTAAATTCAACAAAAGATTCCCACATGATAATAAAAAAAAAATCATTTTGCATGTTGTTGTTTTATGCTTTTAAAGAAAATGAGCATATCTGCAGTAGATGAATAAAAAATTATTTTAGAATTTGAATGTTACTGTCTAGAATATATTATAGGCCCATGAAATAAGCCTGTGATTCTTACTATCAATTAACCAAACTACATAAAGTCATTAAAATACGGAGGATTTGTGTTCATCCATCCACCCTGACTCGCTTGACTTCTTCCTTGGAGAGCTGCGCCCTCTGGTGGTTTTATTCTGCAATAGCATCCTATTTAATTCATACAAGAACACAAGGCATCCTAGAAAAGCAATAAAACTTCCAGTTCTGTATTTTCCCCACCCTTCTTACTTATGTTGCTTTCCATGCAGCCTTTCTGTCCATCCAAATATGGTTTTCCTGCCACCATCTTTTCCTTTCTTTCCTCTGTCTCCTCTGCCTCATCCACTCACTCCGTTTCCCGTCCGTCCTCCAGAGAGCCATGCGTGTAAGGAGCCACTCCATGGAGACCATGGTGGGGCCTCACCGTCACAGGAGCCCTGGGGTGGGGGGCGGGGTACCAGCCAGCATGAGTGGAGGAGGACTGCCACAGACCACCGGTGAATGCACAAAGAGCACCTTCACTGTGAGTAAAAGGATATAATGGAGTGAAAGGAATAGGAAAGACAGATGTCCAGCAAGGATGAAGAGAAGGACAAACTGCTGTATAAAGTCATGCAACTTGACATTCTTTACTAATCTGAAGTAGATTTAGGAACCATTATTTCATGTATTTTACCTTTAGTTTGTCACACATTTAAAAAAAAAAAAAAAGCTGATGATCCTAATTCTGTAATCTTCAGCCTCCTGTGTTGTCAGCCAAGTCTCCTCTGAAGAGCCCAGTGAAACGACGCTCAGGCCTCTTCCCTCGTCTTCACTCCAGCACAGAAACCCCATCCGATAAACACACCCGCGGGTTGGTGACTAAATCCTTGTCTATGTTTTCATATTTTTATGTGCTGTCCCTGATGATGTGTTTTGTCTACAGTGACCAAAAGCCTGCAGAGATCTGCCCGCTGTCCCAAGACATCAGATCAGAGACACTATCCAATCCTAGCTCCCCTGAGATCTGCCCCAACAAAGAGAGGTAAAGCCAGTTGTAGTTCCTGGAGATCATGGCTGAAGGCAATCTGAGTAAAGTTTTGTAACTGGTCTGAAAAGGGGAAAATACAGGCATAAAATCCAAAAACATTTTATAATTTATCTTTTGTAAGCCCTGGTTTCCTCCCTAGATCCTCTGCCAGAGTTTCCTACAGTACGGAGCATCTGATTCTCAGCCACTGATTATCTTTGGGTTTTTTCCCCCAATAGGCCATTTATCAAGACAAAAGAGTGCAGCAGCAGCAGACCAAACATATCTCGTTCTTCATCCAGCACCAGTAGCTTCAGCAGTACCACAGGAGAAACTGAAGCTCTGGAAGAACTAGAGACAGTGAGTACAACTCTCAGTCTGGAAAAATATGTCCTACTTTTTCTTTTCTTCACATCAGAGTGAGCTTGTTTTTATAAGAGAAAAGGGACTTAAATTTGTAGCTAGAAGTAGAGCAGAAAAAACTAGGAACACTTAAAGGGAGTGTGAAGTTGTTGACAGTGTCACAGCTTCATGGATAAAATCATTTGTTATTACAAAGAACTGTCTAAGACAGTGTTGAATGTCAGCACACTGATTATAGTGATTACAGCTTGTCTCACTTGCATGTAATAGATGACACCACTTGTCTGTGCTGTTTTATCTTATGTGAGAAACATTGTCAATTCAAGCCTACTCTCTGTATTTAGCATCTAATCAGTGTGCACAGATGCACAGTGTGTGGATGATGTGAGGCATGAGTTAGTTTAATTTAAAGGAATAGTTCAACATTTTTGAAAACTGCTTCCTTCTATCAACAAAACTTTCTGTATGATGAGAGGTCCATCAGCAGTCAATTAACTTATTTTAGCATAAAATTGAACCGCCACCTTATTGTGGTGGAGGGGTTTGAGTACCCGAGTGATCCTAGGAGCTATGTTGTCGGGGGCTATATGTCCCTGGTAGGGTCTCCCAAGGCAAACAGGTCCTGGGTGACGGGTCAGACTAAGAGCAGTTCAAAAGCCC